AGGGGAGCGGCGGCTCGGCCGGGTCGGTGGAAGGGCCCCCCGGGCAGGGAAGGGTCGGTGGTGCGGAAGAAGCCGGCTGCGGGATGAGGGTGCGCGGTGGCGCCTCGGGAGTGCCGGGGTGCGTTTGGCCGCGGTACGGAGCGCTGCGGAAGGCGGGACCCCTGGAATCGAGTCCCGCTCGCCACCGGCTCTGTGTGTGCGACAGCTTTTGAGAGCTTGTTTGTCCGTGACTGCAGGCAGAGGAAATGCCTCTTGCAAGGGGAGCAAGGAGGAACCAGGCACGTCATCTCAGATTAAGCTTCCACAATTTTCTTGTGTCCTCTGAGCTCAGGCTGAGATCACGTTCATCACAGTCTGTGACTGACTGCATAGAAATTCTTCTTCAAATCTCAAGTTTCTCTCTTTTTTTTCTATACTTCAGTAGCCTGAATATTTGGTTAAACTCTTCAGGTAGTAGTGCAATTAGGAGAGGGGAACTTTGCAGTCTGGAACAGATAAAATTGAGTTGATGTTTATTGTGGCCTGCAGTGTCGAGTAGGTGTTCAACACTGCTCCTAACAGTAGATATATGAGTGATGCTGAGAACTTCCTTCGTGTCCATGTTCTTGTGGGTTTGATCTTCCATGTTGTTACATGTGTAAAACAACTGGTAAGATTTTCCTAATGCCTCTTGGTGTTATTATTAGTTGTTGGAACTAGTCAGCAGGGAATGAACCCATGGTGGTCAGAATTTTCCAGCTGGTACAATGCTATTTTGTGAAGATTAACCACCTAAAATTAACAAGGAAAGCTGTTTCAAAATAATTAAAAATACTGTGCAGCAGTTATCAAGTGTTCTCAGTAATTAACGTTTTCATGTTATATTAGTCAAAACCTAATATACTCGTACACAAATTTCTTATAAAACCTGACTGAAAAAATTTCCTGTTTCCAGTTTTCAGAGGAATGTGCCTCAGTAGAACTCTAAGTTCACATTTAAAATGAGTAGACAATAAACCATAACTAGCAGCCTGTTTTTGCAGTGTAAGCAAGAATTTTAAGCTCATTTTAAAATGCAGCCTTGTGTGTTAGAATGCTATGCGTTCACTGCCTGAGATTTTTCTGTTCTTGTGGCTCGTCCTGGTTTATTGTTTTGTAGGCAATCTCATGGGAATACTTGTGTTTGGTTCAGCACTTCTGGGTTTTCCCTCTGTCCTTGTGTTTTGGCATTGCATCCTTCAACACTTTCTGTATCTGCACAATGTAAGATAAAGAGAATAATCGAGCCACGCTTCTTTTTTTATCATCAAGATTTTGTCCCCTCTCTGCCTTTTTTCCTTTTCTGTTCTTTTGCAGAATTGTGAGTGCCTGAGGCACAAACCACATCGTACAATCACTGCTCTGCTGAAGCACTACATTTCTCTGAAGTTACTCTTGCTGTTATTGGATCTGCACATGATCACTGTTCACACCGTGGGTGAATTAGTAATCAAAAAACATGAAGCATGGTGGGAGCACTTCCTAACAGAAAATCAAGAATCTGTGGCACAATTGCACTTTGTTGAAAATTGTGGAAAGTTCTCTAGGTAAGCAGCGGTGTAAAAGTAGTAGCAATGGTTTAGCCATTCTTGAATTGATTAGTTTTGGCACGCATGTAGTTGAAGAGCTATGAATCAGCCATACTTGAGTAACTTCTCTTCTTCCTTGTAACACTTATTTAGTGATTAAATTCAAGACATGGGGCCTATGAAGTACACATCAAGCGTGTCCTCAGTGTCCTGTGGTCTGCAGTATCACCATTCATTGATGAAGTGGAGTCCAAAAGTGAATTTACACATGGTGAGGACTTACTGCCCGTCAGCACCCAAGAGGCCCGAAGCCAAGTCTGCGGTGGAAATGGCCATGGGTCTCCTTCATCGGATCACAGAATCAGGGACTGTTATGGGAAAAAACTCCCTCCAAAAAGTGTCTGCAACATGCAGGAATTGGTGGGACAGATACGAAGAATTTGTTGGAATCAATGAAGTTCGAGAGGCTCAGGGAAAAGTAACAGAGGTAAACTGGAGATAATGTAGAATTTTAAAATGGTGGCTAGAGCTATACAAAGCATAAACACTGTCTGTGAGGCTGAAAAGGTTATCCAAGGAGAATTATGTCTTTTTCTGCTTTGGCTGTCTGTGCAGGTACTGTGAATGTGTTCTAGGCTATACATGTAGTAAATAGAGCTTATCACATCCCCTGAACTGAAATGGAGTGTGGTTTTTTTTGTTGCTGGCTTTTTTTCTGCCCCCACAAAAAAAAAGTTGTATAATTAGCAATTTAGGTATTTATGGTAATAAGTCTCTAAAATAACTGCTGTTTCTTCTCAGGCAGAAAATGTCTTTATGATAGCTCGAGGGATAGTACGAGAGGCTCGTGAAAATGTAGAAGCCCAACAGATTAAACTGAAGGAAATTCGGGATCGCTTAGACAGGGTCTCTCGGGATGACACCCAGTATTTAGAACTGGCTACTCTGGAACACAGGTTGCTGCAGGTAATTTGTTGGTACTTGAGCATTGGTGAATATGTTAAAAATTTGTGTGCTTTGTTTCCTTCACTAGTGATTGATTGTCTTTGTAGATGCAGTTTAGTTCTGAAATAAGTGATCAGAGTTTATTTTTTAGGGTACTTGTTTTACTTAGTTATTGTCAATGGTTTGATCCCCTGTGCAAATTTTAGATGTTAATGCTAAAGTAGAGTAGTATATTTGGAGAATCAAACGGAAGATAACGAACGTAGAAAATAAATTGTTGTAGTGGTGACCTGTACATGAGTAGTTAAGAAAAAGCTGCCATTCAATGAATTAACTCTCCATGGGATGAGAGAAACTCTTTTCTGATTAATCCATGGAAATTCTCTCAGCTGCCTTCTGCTGGTGTCTGGAGAAGTCAGCAGGGCTGAAACAGTGAACATTATGGAGAGTGAAAGACCTTGCTTACTCATACCCATTTTCTGTCATCACATGGCAGATTCTTATGTGTGGGATCTTCAGCTGTGGTTCCTGATAACCATTTCCATTTCTTAGACTTTAAATTATGTCTCATTGACTTAAGTAGGATTAATAAAGAAAATCCCACATTCAAGGGAAAATTTCTGAAACTACTAATAGATATTACTTCACCAGCACTGGGGTTTGGTGGTTGATTTGGGTTTTCTTCTTTTAGTACAGACTTTATAGCTTCTCTTTTCATCACTGCATTTCTTGCAGGAAGAGAAGAGGTACCGAGCTGCATATTTAAATGCAGAAGAATCTGAGAGAGAAAAATTCTCTCTCTTCTCTGCAGCTGTCAGGGAAAGCCATGAGAAAGAGCGCACAAGAGCTGAAAAAACGAAGAACTGGTCTATTATTGGCTCTGTACTGGGAGCCATTATAGGTGTTCTTGGTTCCACCTATGTCAATCGAGTAAGGCTGCAAGAATTGAAAGTCTTGGTGCTTGAAGCACAGAAAGGCCCAGTAAATTTACAAGAAGCCATCAAAGAACAGGCCTCCAGCCATTACTTGCAGCAGAAAGATCTCAGTGACGTCATAGAAGACCTAAAAAATGTGCTGCAAACAACAACATCACGGGGTGTGAAAGAAGGGGCTTTGTTAACTAGAGAAACCAGGAATGACTCCATAAAAATAGATTCTCTTTTAATGCCTTTAAATGAACAGCTAAACTACATTAAACAAGTCAGTTCATGTCTAGGGAGTTTACAACAGCAGTTTAACAGTCTGCAGGAAAGTATCACGCAGGTGCTGTCTGAGCTGCAGAGTGTCAAACTCGCCATCCACTCCCGACCTACAGAAAGAGTGATGCCAAGGCCTTCAGGGGAGGGCAAGGGCCAGGCTGCTGCTGTGAGAGATGTGATTTTGGAATTGTGTGATACCGAGCGGAGACTGGAAACGCAAATCAAGAGAAGTTCTATTTACAGCACTGCACTGACATGTGCTATGTTTGCCATTACTCTGCCTGTACTCTATATCATACTAAAAGGGAACTGATCCCTAAGTAATTGCCACAACTTATTAGATTAATAAAGGTAAGCTTGCACTCCAAGTACCTGGAGTGCAAGTCCAAATAAAGCTGCTGTAGCGTTTTTCATTATGCCTCCTCCTGTATATGTGAAAAACTTGAAAAGCCTTGGTCTATTACTGCTGCAGGCTCCATGCCAAGTCTGTCACACTGTGCTTTTTAACAAGCAAAGGAAATGCCACAATTTGATCTGTTCATTTCATTCACTGTTTCACTCTTACTGTCTAGTCTTGTGTATCAAAACAGCACCCAAAATGCCCCTCTCAGCCCCATTGCATCTGCAAGGCCCAAAATTACCCCCTTCAGACTCTGAGTTGTACCCCTGGTTGCTCCCAGTGCCCCATGTCACCCCACAGTGGTCCCAGCTTTTCCCATCCAATGGCCCCCAGTTTGCATCCCCAGTGGCCTCAGTAGCCCAGGACAGGCCCTGCAGTGTAATCAGGTACATGTCCTGGGTACCCTGACCCACAGATCCCTGTACTCAGTCCTGAGCCACTCTCTGCAGCCCCCAGCCACCTCCCAGACCCCTTGGGGTTCTGGGGTTCAGACATACCGTTGCTGGGACAGACAGGTTTTGGGGCCTGACCCATGAATAGATGTCCCTCCATCCCCACTGTTCCCCTCTCCCCCAGGTGTGGGCACAAGGAGGAGTCCTTTCCAGTTGCACAGAACTGAGCCCCAAATCCTGCGTCCCCTCAAAGCCGTCAGTGTTCACCTCCTTCTCTCCCAGGACACCATGAAGTTCTATTGCATCTTCACCACACACTGCAGCCACTACTGGGCTAAGTGACAGAACCTCGAGATGGAAATAACTGATAAAATATACAGTGCTTTTCACTCTGGAGCTGGATTTGTGATTTCCTGTTCCAATTATCCCTTTGCTCTGTCCTTGATCTAAATGCCTCATGTATAATTGTCTATATTTTGCTCTTTATTTCTTCATAGTTTGCAGTTCGTTCATTCACAAATCTTTAGGAGTTAACAAACAGCCAGATTAAAATACATTGAAGCTACACATGGTAACCTTTTCCTAGGATAGTTTGTAATGAAGTATCTAAAACATTTCTGTGGCTTCAGTTCTTTGTTATTGATATCTGCATGTCCTTCAAGGCTTGCAGGCAGGGAAGGAGGAAAAGGGTTCATATACAGAGGTGTATTAAGTTTGATGTGTTTATTCTGACAATATAAGCCAATTATGCTTTCTCTACAGACTCCTTAATCTGTCATTCCAAAGGTATTTTGTGGTTTTAGTAATCATCTGTGGAGCAATCACTTTCTTATCCTTGCTAGTATCTCATTGGAACTTGTTGTTGCTTTGTTGCTTTGGGTTTTTTTCTTAATTTTGTCCTGCCTGGAAATTGAAATGCTACTCTACAGCAGGTGCTTTTAAGCCACTACATCAGCAGTAATAGACACAAACGACTCCAAAATAATATTTGGAAAGAAGTGGAAGGTCCAGCTGCCTGTTTTCCCCCTGGAAGGGTGAAAATTGGCTGATTGAAGCAAAACACTTGCCTGAACAGCTAAACATCAGTATCTGCGTGTGGCCTCACACAAGGTTTCTGGCATGGCTCAGATAAGAGATAGTTTTCTCCCTGTGATGGCAGCAGATAGGCAAATCCCATGTGGAACTCCTGCTTCACAAGCACTTCTGTGGGACCTTTGCAGACAAAGGAGCAGCGTGCTCACTTCATTTGTAATGCTTTGCTGTAAGCAACTCGCCTGTCTGGTCCACACTGCTGTGGTGGGACTTTCTCTTATTTTAAGAGAGTTTGAGGTTTTGATTATAAGCTCCTAAGACTGCAAGGTCTTTGAGACAGGGATGTATGTGGCACCAACTTCATTTGGTATCACTGGGTGCCAATAACAGAATAAAGAAACAGTCATGGCCTGTAAGAGAGATGAAAGTGCAAAAAGTTGTTTTGGGAAGTTCCACTGCTGATTTTTACATTGATTATTTGGAGTGTGAAGTGAGTAACAAGCATTTGTCAGGGAAGCAGTTTGATCTTCTGGCTTCAGAACTGGGATAAAAATTCCCGTACTCTTAGCTGTGTCAAGAAGTGTGCATACAGATCAATGGAATTTTTCAAATCTATAATATTTCATTTAATCATTTCACAAATATTTTTACAGGTTATATTTCTTGCAGGAGCTTGATGAAAATCAGGCAAATGTGTTGTTAAAGGGGGAGGACTAGTATAATGATTCTATTTATAATTTGCCACAGTAGTCACTGAGAATTTTTGTCCTGGTTTGGGGGTTTTCTTCAGTTTAACTACATAAAGTTTCCCCCCCTTACTATAACCGGCTGAATTTGTTATTTGACATCACTGAACATATGGGTTACATATATCAGCATGGTTTTTAAATGCTGAAGGTTAGACAGGTAAACTTGAAAGTCAGCGCAGCATTCACTGAATTGTATTCAGAGGCATCAAAAATGAGCAGAGGTCTGAGGCCAAACTTGTATACAATAAATGAGAATACAAAACCAAGGGCTGTGTATTGCTCTAAAGAAATCTGCTTTTTACCCATTTAAAGAGAGTATTATGATAGTCTGTGGCTTTAAGTCTGTGTAAGGTTACAGGAAGTCAGTCAAGGACTGTAAGAACAGTCAATGAACAGTAGCAAATAAATCTGTGAAAAATGATTGTTTGAAATAGCACCTGAAATTTGAGAAGAGCTGGAAGATGTATGAGTCGAGACGAAAATAACTGGATCTTGTCCTTTGCAGGGAGTTTTGAAGACTCAGGAACAGATCCTGTGTGCAGCTGGCAGAGCTCTGTGTTACAAGTAATTACCATGGCTCACTTAGTTCTGCTCTTCCTTGCTAAATCCTCCTGTGTGAAGTGACAGCAGAATAGTTTCAATTAGGAAAAAACCCTTGTAATTAACTGTGACTATATAATAATTAGGAGAGAAGATTTGTGTATTCCCTCCATCCTGGATTAATCATCATTCCATTGTGGCAATGATCTAAATGTGTAGCTTGGCACTGCACTGTATGTGCACCCCAAAGCCAGAAGGTGTGGCTGCAGCAGTGGCAGCTGTACCTGAGCTGGCTGAAGGCAATATCCAGGAAGATGCTATAACATGGACTATATGTATAATCTGTTCAGTACTTTGTGCCAAACCTTTGTCATGGTAACACAGGCAGCAAATGCGAGTTTGAACAAAACCAGCACAGCCATACAGGGGGTGTTTACCTGGGCACTCACCTCAGTTCAGGTACATTTGCAGCAGTGATTTACACAAGCACATGACATCTCAGTGCATGTTTCCTGATGATTCAGCCAGGACTAAGTGAATACTTTGTTGCCTGTGCTCTGCAGGTCTATTCTAGTAAAAAGAAAACCAAAACAAACAAACAAACAAAACAAAATAAAACCACCACACAGCAATCTGCATCCTGTTGTTCTGTTGCATACCTTTGAGTTATTAAAAAGGTTTATAGTTGATAGTTGAGTGTCACTTTTGGAATGAGGTCTTTCAGCAGATCCTTTCTTCAACGAGTAATTTCTATTTCCTAAGGCCTTTTGAGACTTGAATTCTTACTCTGTGAGCAAAGACCTGGCAAAGGATGGTTCAGCCAGCCCTGTGCCCCAAGTGCTCATCCAAGTGGGATGGTGGTTGCAAAATCACGGACAGGAATGGTGGGGCCAGGAACTGACCTGGCTACTGTGTATAGGTCAGAGGAAGCCAGTGCTCATTCAGATTAGTTCCTTTGTCTGGCAAGACACAGAAGCTGAGCTGGAGAGAACCTGGTAAGAGCAACAGGAAGCCCTTTGAAAGATATTAACTATAGAAAAATGGATGGCAGTGGCCTGAGCTTGGCCCATGCTAAGCTATTTTGAGTTCTTACTGCTCCTTGAGAAACCACCAGTAACTCAAAAGCAAACAGCTTGTGGCTATGGAAATAACTTTGAATGAGGTCACTGCAGACTTCTAACAGTAGGTGCATTCTGAAGAGAAAAGTTGCCCTTCCTTCTACTCATGAGAAAACTAGAAAACATTGCTTAAGAAGACTGGACAAAAGCAGTTAGATGTAGTGTCAAATCAGGATGCTTATTTATTTATTTATTTGTTTATTAATACTTGGGTTTTGAATGTTCCAACATTCTAGGATCCTGATCGGAAGTTGCAGGTGCTCCTGTTGATTTCTTTGTATCTGTTTGTTTGGAAAAGACAGTTCCTTTCCCAACATACCTTCTAAAAACAAATACTTCCCTCTTTGTGGAGTGGTAGAGATGTCCTGTTTACCTCAGAAACAGGTTTGAGATTTGCTGTAGGAATGAGGTTTGTGAGCTAGGAAAAGGCAGATAATGCTGGTTTTGTCCGTAACATATTTAGAACTGTATTTTATTGCCAGATTTTTGCTACCAAGTTACATTCATGACCTCACTCATAAAGCATAGAGAAGTGAGATTTCTGGTGCTTGGCAGTTGGATAATCTGAGAAGGTCTGTCCTTAAAAACAGCAGCAGAGCTCCAAGATAAAAGGATTGCCACAAGCGTCCCAAGCTTGTTTTGCTGTGTTCTGCAGGGAGAAAAGCAAACCTATGCAAATAGGTGTATGCTCAGAGTCTCTTGCTCTACCCCTGCAGGTTCTGGGGGATTTTTTGTACTCAAAATCAGACCATTAAACATCAACAGAGTGCTGCCAGCAGATCTGTAGGTGCCCAAATGGCCATAACAAAGACCTTAATGCTGTTTCTAAATGTTCTGACAACTGAAAGCTTAAAAGGAATGGAGTCAGATATGAAGTAGGGTAGATGTAGTTAACCTTCTGTTGGTCCCTGAATTACTGCTCTAAATACACTTTATTCCCAGAAGCTATAGACAGTATTCACATATCCCTTGTGACTTTCTTAAACTGTCTCATCCCCTGCTTGGAGGGGAGGAAGAGTAAGAAGGAAATCAAAAGGAGCATAAGCAGCTGCTAGCCTTGTGATTATCATAATAGTTACGTAAGAAACTTAGCTAACCTGCTTAGAACCAGACATTAACAAGGGTTTTTACAGAAAAGGATCCTTTAGGGA